CTTGCGATTCAAGGCAGCGCTATTCTATTAAATTAATAGAATTAGTATTAACTAAATTAAATTGAATCACTGTGACTTACCCTGGCATGTGCAAACTTTGGAAAAGGTGTGAAGGCACCAGTTGACTGCTCTGGAAGTCGTAGGCGTCCTTGAGCATCCGCCAAGAGTACCGGTTGGAAGGTACTCTCTGGGGAATGCTCAGGAGCGGACTTTGTGGCAACCTTTGTAACTCGTTTGGGGACGGACACCCGTTTAATCGAATGACGAGGCAACGAAGCTGCAATAGAATTAAATTAAAGAAATAAAAACGAAAAAGCAATGATGAAATCTTACCAGAAATTGAAGATGTTGTTTTTAGGTGTTTTGGAGGAGGCGCAGCGTCCTCCTCCTCATCCTCATCTTCAGACTCTACTCCGTTGGAAGCAGAGTCGTCATCAGAAACGACTACTTGTCGGGATTTGCCTTTTGCAGTAGTTGGGGCGATTTTCCTCGAATGAGGAGGGAGTCGAACTCTTTTATAAACCATGGCAGAAGGAGTAGGCTTAGAGGCTTTGGAATCTTCGACTACCTTGACGGTAGTTTTGGATTTAAGCTCTTTCCTGCCCATGGGACCCTTGGTAGACGAAGAGGAAGCCCGAGAAGCTGAACCTGCAGATGGGAACCCGCCTAAGAGCTCATTATCTGAGTCTTTGGAACGAGTAGAACGAGGTGGAGAAACTGAAAAACAAAGAGAACAAAGTAAAATGAATAAAATGAAATGAAATTAAGAAAGAAAATAATACTCACAAAATGAGGAAGCGTCAGCCTTGAGGCTTTCGACCTCCCAATTCCTTCGAAGTGCCCTAGGGGGCACAGCTTGTGCTTTAGTGGCAGGGGGAGGCGAGATGACATCGGAAACCTTGGGAGGCGAAACTGCCTTTGAAGCCCCAGGAGAGCCTTTACTGCATAATGAGGCAAAGACATCCAGTTCTTTGGAAGGCGCCAGATGCATCATGGCGCTCCCTTCGCGGAATTGAAGACAGAAAGGAATCGGAATAGTGGGAAAGTGTTCAGAGACAGGAGCATCCTACAAATCGAATTAAAATGAATAAAAGAATTAGCGTCAAAAGCAGGAAAGATTTACCGAAGAAGAAGACCGATGTTCAGGGGGAATTCCCCACTGCTGTAATAAGCTATCGCGAAGAAATTCGGGGAGATGGGCAGATAAGAACTCGGCAGCTAGAAGGATTTGTTCCGCGAACAAAGGGCAATTCGCCCTTCCCATCCAGAATTCATGAATATAAAGCTAATAAGAACAATTAAAATAAATAAAAGCAATGAGAAGTGAAATACGCACCAGATACGGGGCGGCTTCCTCAAATAAATGATATAACTCCATTGGATCGGTTTCAATGGAATCCTCATCCCCACTTTGTAACGTCCGCACAGCCATTTGGGCTGAACAATATAAGTCCAAGCCTGAGGCAACAGATAAAGGACGCGAAGTGTCGGCAGGGAAACAAAAGGGGACCAAAGGACGAGGATACGAAAAAGCTGGAAAGATATTTGATCCATCGAAATCCAGAGAATTCTGAGAATCAAGCATAAGGGGGGAGTAATTTCCCTGTTGAAGACGAACAAAAACAGCGCTCTCGAAGAACAAAGGGAGTGTTGATTTGAATAAGAGACCCGCCAGAATTACCTGGGCCTCCATAAGAGAGGTAGGAAGAAGCGTGGTCGAAACTGCAGCCTGAGTTTGACTCGAAGTGGCAGCCATTTTGAATTGATAAGAACGAGATGGAGGAAGAAAAGGAAAGGGAAGAAAACGGACTTCAACGAAAATTTGTTGAACCCCATGCCCTGAACCAAATAAACATACACACTGAATCAGCGCGTACGTCAGAGCAGCTCTCCATGAAATGGAAGCTCGTTCTGTGACTAGATGATGAAAAGATTGTGAATTAAAATTTCGAAATGTGATACGAATACCGAAAAAGTATCCAATTCAAATTGAGCGCTAAATTGTTACGATTCGTAGCAGGCGTGTGAATAAATTGATAAGATGAGCGCTAGAAACCCATTTGAGGGCATCCAAATTGATTGGAGAGCACGGAGAAGTAGAGATCCAAACCCAGTGATTTAAATTAAAAGGAGATATAGTCTTGTCGAATCAATCTAATAACAGATTGGGTATCCTTTCCCTATACAAAACTACGAATGACCGAGGACGGTCAAATTCTTTAGTTTGGGGGGGATGACACACCTAAATTTTGGCTAGACATCTATGCTGTGAATTGTGACATTTTCACGTATAGATTTGTATCGAGAGGACTGTAATTGAGACCCAGATTGACAGTCAAAGTCAATACTGAATTAGTCTGATAAGTTGAAGGGACCATATACCCATACTACCACAAGTTGTTTAGTTTACCCATCCCCGATACTACCTTTGGATAACAGTCTACCTGCTTGTCAAGCAGGATTATACCAGACTCGGACTACATCCGAAGGATGACCATTCACGTATGACATACCAAGGGTATTCTTATTGGACCTTACACTGGCAGGAGTTTGGAAGAACTTACTCAAGTGACCATGAGCCAAGGATTGACTCGAAATGACTTTCTAGAACTCAGGAATTATCAAATACTCTTTCTAGAACGAGATCATGCATTAATCTAAAAGACTGCGATTTAGTCTAATAGACCAATCAGGTTGCATGGTTGAGGAAAATGACTAGAAGAACGATCGAAGTACTGCAAGGCTCCGAAGATATATCAAATGAATGTCAAAGAGTCCTGACATAGAAAATATTGAAGAATGCAATTAAATGAATACTATGCGTAACTCCCTTGATAGAGTATAGGCACAATGGGTGTCTGTTGAAAGAGAGAAGCAATTAGTTTAATCCAGATGAATCAGATTGATAGGATTAGAATCGAGGAGAGCTGATTTGCCTCCGGACGAGGTGACAAATGATCGAAGTAAGTGTTGAACAGCAATGACAGTTGAACACCATTCGAGTCATTCTCCAAAAAACAATTAAATTAAATGAATATCGAAGTACCTACCTATGTTTGGAGGTATACTAGAATCTTGGAACCAATATGGGCCAAATAAGGACATATAGATTCAAATTAAATGGTATCTGACTGATTGTAGAAGTTTCCTTGCGGTTCCGAACGTTTATTGTATTAAATTAATTGTACTGTGCGACTCTATATTCTGTATGTATAAATAGTGTGTTGAAGGAGACTGCACTTGTTGAAGTTGAAACACACTGGAGCGCCCTTCAGCTAACCCAAACAGTATGCCACCCAGCTCAGTGCAGAGAATGTCAATGCCTTAATACAAGCTCAGTAGGTTGTGCTACAGAGTCTTGTAGTTGCTCAGTACTCCAATAAACACAGTAACAATGACCAGAGTCAATATAGTATGAGTATTGATTTGTATCTTTCAACTGTAGTAGGAATACATGTTTGTTTGGTCTTGTATGTACTAGAAACGCATGAGGCGTGATAATGGGTGTCCACAATTGTGCGCACCTATGAAAACTAACTAACTACAGTAACACTAAAGAAATAGCTAAGTTATGAGTTGTAAAACTAAGTAATGAAGTCTGTAAGTACTTTGTACACTAAGTAAGTCACTACAGTGATAACTAGGAGTGATGAGGCGCTGTGTAATGTATGTAGAAAGTGTTCTATCACTACAGTATGCTCAACATAGTGATCCGAGGTATCTGGAATACACTTAAGTGATTTTGGGACGACGTTGCAGTGCTAATCCGTAAAAAGGAAAGACACACTCCCGCCAGACTGAAACCTCTTTGCTAGCAGCCATTCGGGCCTGGCACTTGTGAGTATAGGAACATTGTGTTCTGCTCCTTGTGACTGCGAGAAGTATATCCAGTTGTTGGGTATTCTTCGAACTTAGGATCAGTCGTTGGTCTTAAGGGCAAATCACGCTGTGTGGTTGTGCCAGCACATAGTTCTAGCCCTCCGTAGGGGTCTGTGTGTTTCGGTTTTAATTTACTTTGATTCAAAAACCCCAATTCTTGATATACCCATATCAATACAAACTAAAGCACAAATCGTGCTGAATCTACCTTGATCAAAGGAATATATCGAATCCTTAGAACGGTTCAAATTGATTGATTAAAGCTTCTTACTTAGCTCTCAAAGCTTTGCGGAACCTTTGCCAACGCTACCCCTTGCTATTAAATAAATTTGATAGCAGTGAACTCGCATATTGTGTATTAGATTGGTTGGTTGGAGTGCCCATTAGATTCCTTCCTTTCTCTTTCACACAAAAACAAGGCAAGCTCGTTACCGTTGGTGCGTCGAGCTCGCAACTTGATAGCATGGGCTTTGGCTCTCAAGGTGCAGGAGAAGCACTTTGTTAGCTGCCCAAGTCCAGTAAGAGCCAAGCAGGCCACAGTGCGGTTATGCCTGTAATGGGGACTTGGTTTTTCCCTGACGGTCTTTCTCATAGTTATGGGCAGAGTATGCGAGCGTACTTTTTTATATGTATTTCCCGAAGGCCAAAAGTGGCTCAAAGACGGTCACTTCCATTACAATATTGCTCGATGTATTATCATATTTCTTAACGTCCATAAATATTGACTCTATGTTTGTTCTCTCCCATTCCTTTGAACGGGAAAATTAGCAAATTCTCCAGTAGCACTACCGTTACTGTTACTGAGTTTATTACATCCAAGCTACTAACCATATAACCATGTCATGATCAGACATATCACCGGTAACTAATATGTCAAATGTACCGCATTGGTAATCCCGTAGAGCGCTTTTTTTGTCTTTCGTTCTAACATTATCTAACTGGTTACTGCAGTGGGTAAAAACCCGTGCATCTGGTAGACTTCTGCTCGTTTCTCGGGACGCCATTCCTCCAATGTTGCTATCATAAAAAGTACACCCCTTTTCATCTCAGATTGTCATTGTTTCATGTCGTTGTCAGATCTACATGGATTATGATCACCCAATTTACATGCAGAGTCACTGATGCCTCCCCATACTTCATCTACCCACAATCCAAGCCCTTTCTCAGAAACACATGTATCTACCAGCTTGCTGTCAATGTTGGAAGAAGAGATCTTTGCAAGATCCCATGCCGCTTCACAGTCCTCCTCGAAACTAGTGTTCATCTCGCCACCAAATAAAGATACTTCTTTTGTACTTCCCGACCCGGAGTCTCTTACTTCAGCTAACTATGGTCAGTTTGCCCTGAAAACTACCGCACCAGCAAATCGAGAGTTTCTTGAACACGAAGCCTGGTTTTGTGGTGCAGTCATCCAGCTGCATTTGATGCCCCGTGGAGATGGAGACAAAGCTAACATACTTGAAGATTATGCACTCAATGCTTTGACTTCCTTGAATCAGCATAAAAAGAGCCAATGGATTCAGCAGTCTGATCCAATTGGTGCACATATCATCGATAATCGTGGGTCTGCTGCTTTATACTGATTCCTGAATTGTCTTGACTAAAACCTCCCTCCTTTAGGCTCTTACTTTTGGACTTTTTCCTGCCTCACTCCGGGCGACCGAAAGTCCAAATGCTATCGATGCTGCCTCCAACCTACCAAAGGACGTCCACACTATAATTGATCGTTACGACTTGGATCCTCATTGCCATGCCTGTCTTGCCTGCCCAAAATGCTTCAAATTACATGAATTTTCACCACAATCCATTCAGCGCAATGAGGAATCTTACCGAAATGATAAGAAGTTAGATAAATGTGTTACATGCAGTACCACTTTGTGGCGAATACAGAGGATCGGAAATCGTTTTTTTTGTCATCCCTATCCGTAAACAGCTGTTTCAGGATCTAAAACAGTGGCTTGGAAGGATATTTAATAAGCTGTTCCCGGCATGGAGGAAGCGATGGAGAATCATCTGCAATCCTCACCTGATGATGGAATCCCTCATGATATTAGAGACTCTCCAGTTTTTAAGGAGATACCTGGTCCGGATGGAAAACCATTCATGCAACTGGATGAAAACTCGCATGATTTACCTGTGATGTTTAGTCTTGGCTATGATGCCTTCCACCCTTTCCATTTCAGTAACGAGAAATCCCATCAGTTCCACTGCCATATATATGGTGAATCTTTGCCTACCGGAACATCTCAGATATATGGCACTTGTGACTGTCTTCAATGGTGATCCCAATGTGAATGATATCAATCACATTCCGGATTGGATTGTGGATTTGCTTCTGCCATTTTGGGATGGTGTATATTTCACACAAACATGCTCTCATCTATTGGGGCATGTTGTGCATGCAATTCTGATTCCTATTATCTGTGATGTTGTTGGCGCTCACCATGTCTTGGGATTTGGCTTACATTCACACAAGTTATTTTGTACCCAATGTCTTCTTCTCAAATCTGACATAAACAATATCGACATGGCAGCTTGGCCAAAGCATAACCTCCAAGAGCACTGACTGAGGGCACAAGAATATCACAAAGCTACTAGTGATGAAGAACATGATCACATTGTCAACACATATGGTGTTCGATGGACAGCATTACTATGATTACCTTACTGGAACCCGATTGCACATACTGTTATTGATGGTATGCACCTGTGCAAAGGACTTGCTGAAACCCATGTCCGTGGTGTCTTAGGAATCGAAGGTGACACAAAACCTAAAGCGACATTGAAATCCAAATTCAAACCACCAGCCGCACTTCTTTGCTCTCTCTGGGATGGAATTCGGAAAGCTCCAGAAAATTTATCACAGTGGCTTGATTCTAAGGTCAACAAAAATACTACTGTTTTTTTATGTTCTTGTCTCCCGAATGTGCGAACCAATGTCAATAAAAAGGAGCTTATTGAAGCTCTTGAAACTTGGGTGCGATATTCAATCTCAGTTCAGATCCATATATCTCTAATATACAAATATGGCAGCGCAAGTCTGTTAGTGAAGAAAGTGTACCCATTATTCCACCCCTACAGTATATTTCTCTTACCTGGAAGGGTAAACGAAAAGAAATGGCAAGCTGCTGTTAAAGTCATGACTGAAAACAAAGTGACCAGACTGGGGATTGAACCCAGGACCTTCTGGTTATATTCCAGATGCTCTAACCAACTGAGCTATCTGACCTTGGTTCAACTAATGAGGACTTTACATATGGTAACAGTGGCCATCCAAACAACCCCTTTAGGACTTACTATCTTCTTTTGCCTTGGTTGATGGAATTTTGCATAATACCATTTATACCTCATCAGGGTGTCAGGATTGAATCCTAACAGCTGCCTATGCCTATTTTCACTCATAGGGAGGTGTTTAGCCATAAACTGGGCCAAAGCCCCATTAAATTGAATGCATCATGCAGGGCCCTACAGGAAGGGTATGGTATGGTAAATAATATAAATGAAAAAAGAAGTCTAAGTAAAAAATAAAATAACAAGGTTAGAGTGGAGTGAAATGGTTGAAAGTAAAGATGTGATGTGGGAGAGGAGGGAGGGTGACCAAAAAATGACCAGATCAACCTAGATTGAAAACCCAGACCTCTAATCTATACTCGACATGAAGGCGGATTCCAAGGGTAGGGAGCGTTTCTGGAGGCCTCTGCAAACAACAGATACACCACAGCAATTAGATCTGTGTTCATCACTTCAATAGTGCACATGAATACATCTAATTGCTGTTGTTCCACTTGTCCTACCATCACTACCACCTGCTAATATCTCGATTACCACTCCCCCAATCACCTCCAACAATCACCTTGTTCATATCTTGATCAGATCTCACACTATGAACACTTTTTCTGGAGAATGCTCAACTTTTTATTCTGGAGCTTCGAGTTTGTTTTATTTATAGCTCGTCGTCCTCGCGCTATATACACGCGTGCGTTGGTGGACTACGGCAGGAACACGTCAGGAACAACGCTATGCAATCAGTTTGTCATTACCTTTACTACTGCTCCGGCAGTGTGTACTTTTACACACCAACTTCGACTTTGCAATTCCGAAGTTTTGGTAACTTGTTGTCAGATGATCAAGGCAGGTCATGGGGCACTTCTGGCAATCACAGGTGCCGGAGTTCCGAGCAGAGGCCTGTGATTAGCTTGATCAGGAGTGTCATCTGACTCTGTCCTTCTTCCTTCCTTTCCCCCACCATCTTCGGATTTGGGTAGGACATCTGCACACTCCCCACAGCTCTGATAGCTCTAACATCACCCCACCAGCCTCTCCTACATCTGTACAGACCACAGGCTTTGTTCTAGAGTCTCAGATTACGGATTTTCTGGTATGGCTCCGCCACTATCACTGATCTCTCCACTGTACAGAGCTCACAACACATCCATACAGATCTGACCACATCTACTGCTTCATATTACCTCCAGATTGTCAGATCTTCGGATATCAGGGCTCTCAGTGCGCAGATCAGCTCTGATCTTTCATTCTACTAGGTACTAACTGTTATCTGAGCAGATCTAGCTTGATCTGCGCTTTTTTCTTGTCACCCTCCCTCCCATCCCTCTCTTGTACTTGTAATTTCATTTCATTTCATTCTTACTTTGATATGTACTTGTAGTATGCTACTTACACCTTACCTCACCATGTACCTTGTAGTAGGGCGCTTCATGATCCGCAATTTAGGGGCCCTTGGGCTCAAGTTTTGGCTAAACACACCTCCCCTGAGTGAAAACTAGCATAGGCTTTGACTGTCAATCTGGGTCTCAATTACAGTCCTCTCAATACAAATCTATACGTGAAAATGTCACAATTCACAGCATAGACGTCTAGCCAAAATTTAGGCGTGTCAGCGTTCGGTTACTGGAGTCTCAGCTGGCTGATTCTCAGTGGGAGAATTCCTCCCTCACCTCTGCTCTTCGGGATACCTCCCATGCTCTCGAGTCTCGACAACGAGAAGTAGAGCAGTTGCGGTCTTCTCGCCATGAGGTCCTAGAGCACGAAACAGAGTACCGTCGCATGTTGGATCAGTTCGTCGCTTTGGATGAAGCCTTACCGGGGACCCCTGGTCAAGTGAGTACTTAAGTTTTCTTCCTTTTTTAATCCATGATTGATTTCTTCTCCTCAGAGCCTCTTGGAGCGTTTTCAAGAAGTGCAAGAGGACCTTCGAGATGCTGTTAGGGAGTGCAAGGTCGCTGTGGAGAAGTTGTCCTCCTCTACTCGCAAGAGTTCGCAGCTGATGACCACCTTGCTGTACCAACAAGGTCGTGTTGACGAGTCTAATGCTTTAGCAACACATCAACGTCGCCTGGTGGAAGAATTGCAAGAGGAGATCCATCGTGCTTGCGATTGTGCCGCTTTTGTTGAGCAAATGGTCAAGGAGTACCCTGATGAGGGTTATTACGAGGTTGTCCTGCCCCCCCTTTCGCAGCTCGAAGTTGATCTTAATAAGGCTCGCGAGGACCTCCGCCGTGTTGCTACCCTTGCTCACCGCCTTCATCGTTCCGACCCTGCGACCGTCCTTCACCACCACCACCGTTATATCGGGGCGATTATCAAAGCTGTGGTTGCCTTCCTCCATCGTGGACTGGAGTCTGAAGACCCTGACGTTGTTACCCACAACTTCGGGTTGGCGTTGGATTACATGCAGGTGGCTCGGGGTGTCCATGGAGATCTTTATATCCAGTCCATTAGTAGCATTCAATGGTTCTTTAACAACGCTGTGGACGAGGTTGAGGGTCTCTATCGCCTGGTATTGGAACACTCCCAATTCAACAACGACGGTCCTTTCCTGACGGCTGCTCAGCATGCGGGTTTTGCTTCTCCCCCTGATAACTCCCTTGAACCTCCTCTTCACAGATGAATGTTGGCGCTGTCCACAGCTCTTCCTCATAGCGACGGCGTTGGGAGGTGGGATGATATCGTTCCTGCCCTTCCCAGTGTCGACCAGCTGACTGCGGATTGGGAGCAGTTGATGTTACGCTACATTCATCACATCATGGATGTTCCCCTGTCTGGCACGGATACCCAAGTTCCCATGTCGTCAGTGGAGCCCGGTACTGAGTCATTGGCTGAAGTAACTGTTGAGCAGTTTCCTGAGGTGCCCCCTCTGTTCTTGCCTGAGCAGGAGTCTCCGACCTCTCCTTCCCCTCCTCCTCCTTCCCCCACTCTGTCCCCTCTTTTCGGATCCGTCGCCAATCTAGCCATCGACCTTACTGGCGACAATGATGACCTGTACGAGATGGAGGAGTCTCGTATGGGTCGCGTTTCTGTGCCGAGGGAAGTTGTTGATTTGGTGGCGGTTCAGGGTATCATTAAGGAGGAACCGTGATAGCGCCTTCCCGTTCCTCGTGTAGTCTTCTTGTCGCCCTGCCTCCTTTTTGTATTTTTCCTTATATGTTACGCTTGTCTGCTTTCTTTTTTGTTTTTCTTTTTGTTAACTAATGGAAATGTCCTTGGTACTTGTGTGAAATTGTCGTGCATTCAGGTCTCGTGAGCCCTCCGATGCAAGTTGTTGTTAGTTAGTTGTGAACATGGG